GAGGCTGAGCCAATGGACGTTGACACCACAGACCATGTGAGTGTTGCATCCTCGGACCGACGACCCAAGCCCAAAGCCCGACCGCGACGCGGAGGCGAAGCCGTACGGGGTGATGTGGTCTTGATCCGTTATGAGAACAAACACAATCTCTGCACGGATGTGGAGAACCGTCGGGGCCTACATGATGCTTGTGGCGTACCACTGCAGGAATCAGGACCAGAGAATAGCCAGCGGGTGGTGGACCTCATTGAGCAGCTTTCGGACCATCGCGACCGACGCCTACCTCAACGAGGAGACCGTCCTAGCTTTGCTTACGATGAAAACACTCATAGCTACACCAATCCAGGCTATGAATCCATCGGCGGCGGAAGGCCAATCCGGTGCGGGATTCTCGACCTGATCCCAACCAAGGGTGCAAGCTTCATCAACAATCGGTGGGACATCGTGAACGAAGTTGTCCTTCGCACCATCACCCGTCAGCGCAGATTGAACGCGGATTGGGCGCTATCATGCATCCAGTCTGACTTGCGCCACAGAATCGCCAGGCGCCCAGGCTCGGAATGGCTTGACAACAGGTGCCAGGTGGCATTCAACAGTGTCATCAAATGTGATGAAGGAGGGTGGGTGATGATCGAAGACTTGGTGAGGCATGAGCAACTATGGACCCATGAAAGCAGACGCATCACCGAAGCGGTCTCAAGGACCGATGAGCAACAGAAGAAAAGAGTGTACAATGAAAGACTTCAGCTATTGTTCCAAGGGAACATGCTCGCAGCCACGAAACGCCATAAGGCCAAGATTCGGTTGCAGTTCCTGGGAGTGAGAGTGAAGGACCCCGGCACGGAAACTCTTGGATCAGCAGGTTCGAACATGTTGGTATCGGTTCCTGACCAGATCGCGGAGATCCAGAACAATGATCATTGCCGGCACAGCCAGAGGTACCTGAACGTTTGCAACGGCTGGGTGAAGCCATGGGCAGTTCGGGCTACAAGTGGTCACTCTGCACACTCGGATCCCCAGAACAATTTGCTTCAGTTGGACAAGAACAGGTTCGCAATATCTCCATCTATGACCCTCTTGCAACGTCTCGGAGGAGCGTTCCACGCTACAGCATGTCGCAACTTGGATTCCATTGTCACGCAAGGCATCATGCCTGGTTCGGAGGACCCCTACGGGGACTTCGACCATAGGCGCCAATTTCGAGGCAACCAAGGCGGCAGACTCCACAGCTATTGGGGGGTGTTTGCACCGTTCGATCACCGGAACGCGACAACCAAGATGCGGGTGCATGGACGAGATGCCAAGCACATGCCATTGGCGGTCCTCCATGTCCCATCGCAGGACCTTGCACGAGAAGATGGACGTATCACAGACAGCGGCATCATGATCGTTGGCCGAACGATACCGTTCCATTTCGTCAAGGAGGTATGGTTTTGCGTCCCGGATCCTCAAGATACACACTCTTTCGCTCTGGTGGAAAAGATCTACGATGAACGATTGGAGAAAGAGCTGGTGTTGGACTACAATGCATCACCATTGCTCCCTGAGTTCGAGAGATACCGAACGCCAAGCAAGATCATGGAATTGCTTTGCGAGATGCCTCCTGGACCCCACGACACCAGCAAGGAGCAGATCATTCGAGACCTTACGACTGTCCTGGAGTCCCACAGGTAGAACACGGTTCGGCATCACTACATGGACAAAGGGATCAAGTTTGTCATCAAGAATTGGCGACCCGAAGACCTACGCAGAGACGAGGATGGAAGGAGAATTAGGGTGTGCCCGGCATGCTACAACATCGTTCCAGCATGCTTCTCCCGATGCACGTCTTGCTGGTCACAGTTCGTTTCTAGCGGATATTACCAAGGTTCTCCACAACGGGAGACTCCTACGGAGATCCCCAGTGACTTCATCGCTCAGACAATGGAAGCCGCAGCAGCAGCAGTGCCTGAGGCGCCCGAAGAGGAGCAGGAAGCCATGGAGGTAGAGACCGTTGCGGAACCTGAGGAAATCCCAGAGCCATCTGTCATCGCAGAGGACGATCCAGAACAGGAACCTGATGAAGAAATGGACATAGAGCCAGGAGAGGAATTTGATGACGCAGTACCAGATGCAGTTGCACAGGAACGTCGTCCCGTCTTCATTACCGGCCAGTCTTTGAACATCGATCCTGAGCTACAACTTGCGCGTACCGCCATGCAGCCATCCTACTATTCTGGAAAGCGAAATGCCCATTGCATTGACGCCAACATGGCCGCTCTTTCGTATATGGCATACGTGGTATGCAGATCCATCTACAAAGCTTGGTCAGGGTTCGCAAAGTGGGCGACTATGCCGTTGTTCCAGATGAAGGAGAATTTCGCACTTGGCCAACGCTATGATGTGCTCGGAACGTGGGGATCTTTGGCGGCAGTGGATAGGGAAACGGGTGTGAGCAAGGATGTGACTGATGAGGAGATCATTCGCTTTGCCAAGGAGCCTGAGAACCTCAAGCAGTATGATCCCAACGGGACTTACACCTTGAAGCGCTTCCGGACGACCCAGATGCTTTCGTTGCTTACACGGGGAGCCAACATGATGGGAATTGGCAGGGACAACTTCAACCCTACTACTTACTTGAAGAGCGAAAGGGATGAAGATGTGAATGCTATGCACTTTTGTTGCCTGAACGTCCTGTGCGAGGTGATTCCAATGGTGACGGGACACCAACAATTCTCAGTGCTACGACCAACGCCAACTGGACCGTTGGACTTCTTGTACATCGACCCCGTCGGTATCCTGCTGACTCATTCTGATCAGTCAGTCCAGACCATCGGCTTGCTGGTGGACCACAATGTGCAAATGCCTGCGCATTTCATGGACAGATTGAACAGATCCAAGGCTGAGAGACAGCAAAACCCGACGACCAAGCGTACTGAAGCCCTACACCACATTTCGGCCGCTGACTATCTCCCTCCAGGTGGTACTTCCATCCTGGACACGCCTGTCACTACGGAAGAACGTGCAAGCGCTTCTTCGGCCAAGGGACCTTCAAAGGGGCGTGAGAGAGCCGGAGGTGAACAGCATGGAGGCTGGAACGCCAACACCTACTATGAATACACCGCCGGCAAAGGCCGAAACAAAGGCAAGGACAAAGGAAAGCAAAGGGAACAGTATCCAGAGGAAAACCTCCGGCCCTGGGACCGCGATCCTGCGACCACGCGAAGATGGAGATGAATCAACGCTTGGTCTTCCTCGCCTATCAGTTTGTGACCTCTGAGCTTCGCCCATGGAATGCCCTCGCGAATGCTTCTTTCTTCGGTGACGCCTGATTCGTTTGCCATTTCAGGGGATCGTTACTGACGTAGATGAGTGTCACAACGTTTCTAATTGGGATGCAAAGCTCTGATTTTCAATGCCAACGTTGCGGCGGAACATTTTCTGTTGTCCTATCGTGCCATCTTCCGGGTGAGCAGCGTCGGAGACGCAACTCATGGGGGTGCGAACGGACTGCGATGCCTTGTCAAGTTCTAAGGTGTCACTATAAGAGCTGTGAGCAAGACTGTGTAAAGTGCAAGAGGAGGGGGCACGCTACGCGTCCCTCGACTCTAAAGGGGGCACGCTACGCGTCCCTCATCTTTACCTTTCTATGTGACCGCCCACGCAACGTTTGGCTCAAGTCAATGCCCATAGCTAAGTGCTATAAGTGTCTTCTATCCTGAGCAATCAGAGCTATCCCGTTGCACAGACGACCCGCCGCCGGCAGTGAGTGCAAAAGGAACGGCCGCCGGTTCTGCCTGCATAGGATTGCACGCGTGGAAGTGTAAGAGAGACAGGGTCCAGTCTGTGGAGAGTGCAAGCCAACCACACCTACATTCATTACAGCTCTGGTGGGGAGAGCAGCAACCTAGTCGAGATCAATCCCCCACGCAGTAGTAGTAGTAGTAGTAGTAGTAGTAGTAGTAGTAGTAGTAGTAGTAGTAGTAGTAGTAGTAGTAGTAGTAGTAGTGGTAGTAGTAGTAGTAGTAGTAGTAGTAGTAGTAGTAGCAGGAGTAGCAGGAGTAGTAGTAGTAGTAGTAGTAGTAGTAGTAGTAGTAGTAGCAGGAGTAGCAGGAGTAGTAGTAGTAGTAGTAGTAGTAGTAGTAGTAGTAGTAGTAGTAGTAGTAGTAGTAGTAGCATCCTAATAGTACCAGTCGCAGTCGCAGTCGCGACAGAAGTAGCAGAAGCAGCAGAAGTACTGTGGCAGAAGCAGCAGAAGCAGCTTTAGCAGCAGTAGCAGCAGCACTAGCAGAGCTGTCGCAACACTGTTGCTGCTACGGCATTGCTGCTGCTGCTGCTGCTGGAACTGGTACGGCTGCTGCTTCTACCATTGCTGCTACTTCTGCTGCGACCGCGACCGCAACCGCGACTGCGACCGCGACCGCGATTGCTGCTGCTGCTGATGCTTGTTCTGCTACTGCTACTACACCACAGCTGTGCTGCTGTGCTACTGCTGTGTGAGCTGCTGTTCCAAATTTGGTTCCAATTGCTGCACGCTTGCTGTAGAATCACCGTCGCACGGATGCCATAATCTGCAACTGTTCGGGTTTGCGTCCTCTGCGTGGCGGCCGGGCAGGTTCCCTCAGCTCCCACCCCGAAACTAAACTGCCAGACTCTATAAGGCCTTTGCATCCGACATTTCAGAACCCTGACCTCTTCCGGTCCGATTACACGTCGCAGGATCTGCGCTGACTGGGTACAGCACCTCAACAGGCTCAGCAAGCAGCCCTTCCGAGGGTCGGGGCCCCGTGGAGGGTTTTCGGTTTAGAGGATCTTTGGTGGCGGGGTCACGTTTGAGACTGAACTTCTGCTTGCAAGAAAGGTCACGGTTAAGGAGACATCATAGAACCCATGCAAGTCCTGTGGGCCTGCGAAAGTTGGAAGGAGTCCTGTGCCGTGGCTTCAAGAAGTCCCTTGTCCGGAAAGCCCAAGCCCTCTGCATTTGTCCAAAGGCTATCTCTCAGAGCTGAGCGACGATGAAGATGCCAGGACCTCCCTTGGAGAAGAACAGTAGCGCCGTTGACCCTCCCCATGCCATGTTTCCAAGAGTCAGAGTCGCGACAGGAAGTTGTATGTATTCTGCAGTTTCTGCGAGGAGTGAGGCATCTAGCGATGACACTCGGCCGCTGGTTCCGACGCCAAGTCACGATCACCGTCCACCCGTGTGGGTCTCGTTTGGACTCCGGTCGCTTACCGGCAGGGCCCAAATTTGGCAGGTGACAATCTGCATCGGTGCAGAGATTCGAATCGATATAGACACGAAGATGCCTCTCAGAGCCTTGAGGCGACAGGCCTCGGAGGCAAATGAGGTTGAGTAAGAAGTCTTTCTCGTTGCAGAATGCAGTCCCACGTAATTGTGTCGTGACACTGGGCTGTGGTCCAACCTTGCGAAACTGCGCTGAATGCATAGCCAGCTGCTGACAAAGGTGGAGGATGATTATGATGTGGTGGAGGCGGGGGTGCAGAAGCACCTGAGTATCCCGCTCAAGTGGTGGCGAGAGCATTTTTAGGTGACTGGAATTGATCCGGTTTGGAATCATAATATCACTCTTCCCAATACTGATGCCGTTAGCAATTCGCGAGATCAGCCACAAGCACGGTTCCCCTCCCCCCAAATGGCTATTACCTCGCCACGTTCGACGGAGAAATCCTGATCCTGCAGCCCGAAGCTAGCGAAACGTATTGAGGCTGCTGCTAAAGTTGTCTGATTGTGACGATCTCATGAAGCTTGAACGAGGGATGCCGGAAAAGGCTCAGTTTGCCCACAGCTTGTCTGTTGAGCTTGAGTTTAGGGGCTGAAGCTGACCAATGTTTTCAGATTGATAGCATGTGTATGATAAACAGCTGTTTGCTTTAGTGGGTTAGAATGCAGTGTGCAAAGGGCTGGTGCCATCTGTTGCTCATCTGAATCGACGTTGCTGTCCGCAGGCTGCGAGGCACTTTGCATCGCAGCGCTCGGCAGATCCCAAGCAGCAGCAGCGAGAGGTCAGGGCCAGTGAGCACAAAATGGGTTAGGGTATTCAGGCCGTTTCGTCGGTCACGTCGTTGCTTCGAGATAGATCTCGTCCGGT